AAGCGGGTTGTGATATTGAACTGCGCATGCTGTGTTAGTCCTCCATTGGGACGGTGGACGCTGTACTCGGTGTCATCATCCCCCTGAGAACGCCCCGCCTAGTATAACTAGTTGGCTAGTTATGTGTAGTTAATCAGCTAGTTAACTGCCTTGCACTTTTCAGTCGAGCAGAGCCATCCACGGCTCTGGGAGCAGGGCATCGACGCTGTGCACTCAATCCTGTCAGTTGCCAGTTGCCAGTTGCCAGTTTGCCCCTATCTTGCGTCGTCTCTTGGTTGCTCGTTAGTTAACTAACTAGCCATTAGTAATAACTACCTGATTTCAAAGCAATCACATCATCGTCTCGGGCTCATCGGTTTCTCTTCCTTTCTGCGACGGCAGTCTGAAGCCCCGTCGCTCCCTATAAAAAGCCATACGCCAGTCGCAGACTCTTGTGCTGATTTTATTTCTATGTTATCATTCTAAATCCCCTCTTAGTTATCTGCCTGTCAATTTTGCCTTTTTTTTTCTTCCGTGACTTAACTAGTTAAAAAGGCCGTTGCATTCAAGAGAACCGGCTAATTAGTTACTCGTGTTATAAAGCCATTGTACTACGAACGAATCTACTTGGACATACGAAGCGGAACAGCTTAACAATGGGCGATTCTGATATCGATATCAAAAACATTTCAAACACGCCGGCTCCTGGCATCAGCTATTTCACCCCGTATCAGAGTCCCCCGGCAGGCCAGGCGGCGAACCCTCAGAGTAATGGCTCGGCCCCGCCAAAGCTCTTCCAACCTCTAAAGATAAGAGGACTGACTCTTCATAATCGCATCGGAGTGAGTAAAGCAATGTATATACACAAGATCGTGGATTGCTGATATGCGGCATAGCTTGCGCCTCTCTGTCAATATTCATCGCCAGATGGCCATCTTACCGACTGGCACATGGCTCACCTTGGCAGTATTGCGATCCACGGGGCTGGCTTTGTGATGGTAGAGGCCACATCCGTCCTCCCAGAAGGGCGGATCACCCCTGAAGACTCTGGGCTATGGAAGGACTCTCAGATCGAGCCTCTAAGGCGGGTCGTCGAGTTTGTTCATAGCCAAAGCCAGGTTATTGGCATCCAACTTGGCCATGCTGGCCGCAAAGCCAGCACGTTTGCTCCATGGCTGTCGTCTGGCGACCTCGCCCGCGAGAATGTGGGTGGCTGGCCAGATAATATTAAAGGCCCAAGTGATATCCCTTGGGGTCCGCGACTAGGGAAGCCGAAGGCCATGACAAAAGCAGATATTGAAGAATTTAAGGAGGCCTTTGGTGCATCCGTGCGTCGTGCTGTGACTGCCGGTGTCGACTTTATTGAAATCCACAATGCCCACGGATATCTACTGTCGTCATTCTTGTCCCCAACCTCAAATAACCGAACTGATGAGTACGGTGGTTCGTTTGAGAACCGAATGCGCCTCACCAACGAGATCGTCGACATCTGTCGCAAAAATATGCCTGAAGACATGCCTCTGTTTCTCCGTGTCTCATCTACCGAGTGGCTCGAAGAGTCCCGGCCCGACTTACCCAGCTGGACGGTGGAGGACACAGTTCGCTTTGCCGAGGTACTGGCTGAAGGCGGCAAGGTTGACTTCATCGACATCAGCTCTGGCGGCAATCACCCAGACCAAAAAGTGAGGGGCGCACTACCTGGCGTGCCTTATCATGCTCCGATGGCAAAGGCCGTCAAGAAGGCTGTTGGTGATCGGATGCTCGTTGGCGTTGTCGGAAACATCACCACTGGCACAACCGCTAACCGACTATTAGAGGAGGACGGCCTGGATTACGCTCTCGTTGGTCGCTGGTTCCAAAAGCATCCTTCACTTGTATGGTCTTTTGCCGAAGAGCTGGGGGTTGACCATAAAGTTGCCAACCAAATGTCATGGCCCTTTGGAGGAAGAGGATCTACTACATATTTGAAAGCTGCACAGAAGAACTAGATTGCAAGTTTGTTTTCGGAACTGAGGCTACATTAGATTGAGTATATACTTAGATGGCTAGACTAAGAAATTAGCTGATAAATAGAGCGATGTATTAATGAACTGATATAAGTATTAACTCCCATCCAAATCATCATAAAGAATTCTATTCACCCTTCAATAATATAGTAAAGCTCCGTCTTCGCTTCCTGCAAGAAGAAGAAAAGAAAGCAAAGAAAAGAAAAGAAAAAGCCATCGATTTTCACATGGAAATTAAGCTTTCGGGGAAGCAACCCGACTGTATTGTAATCCGAAAACGCCGGTAATATTTCTTTTTCTTTTGGAAGCTAAAAATGATGGGTCGTAATTTACAATATCAATACAACAAACGATACGCACACGGTTCTTTGATCCCGCTGAGCCAACGATGTCAATTGAAGAAGCTGAAGAAACATTCAGTTTGATAAAGTGTTCATAGCAAAACTCCCTATCCTTGTACCTGGGCATGCAACATGGTATAGGTTATGGTTTTTTCTGATCTATGGGCAATTCAACCCTGGTTCTACGTATACATCCAACCAATTCCAAAATATGTAACAACTTCACCACAGAGTGTCCCAAGTCCTTAGAATGAAATGGTATGCTCTCTGCGAACCAAATACTTGTTTACCTTCAGTCACGGATAGTCGGCAGGGCCTCTTACAATAATGCTGGCTCCTTCACGGAGTCTGTCCGGCAGGGCCAACGCGAACAAAGCGCAGCCGGTAAATCACGCAAAGAAAAAGCAATTAGAAGTCTGAAATGTCCAGCAAGGGCCTTGCCTGGGACATGCCATGTCCATGACCCGCCGTGGGGTAAGGAATGAACTGAAGGGGTCAACGAGACCATTTCTCTACAGTCGGATTTTTTTGCCAGCATCTGAGGGGATGCCGAGTTGCCTGTACTTGAGTATCTCTTGATACTCGCTGCGTGTACCAGCTCGAAACTGGGCTTGTCAGTGGCCCCCTCGTGTACGACTCCATCCAGGCCAGCCTTTGTAGCCAGGTGGCTGACGAATGAATCCCTGGAACTCACAGGCGAGGCAGCCAGGGGATCGATGCCCCTCCATGAAAGGGCACAAAACTGTTGGACCATAGTTTAAATGGCCCGAATCCTCTCGCCCTGTTCATACGTCCATTGTCTCTGTTCCTCTCCACTCAACTGGTGGACTAACTAACTAGTTAGCTGTCTGCCGGGGCCGCTAGGATCTTGCACGCAGACGCCTCGATTTGCTGCTTATCCCGCTGGCTGCGCGGGACGACGAAGTAGGAGAGGAAGAAAAAGAAGAAACGAGGGAGGACGTCGAAAAAGACTCGGCTCACGTGGTCTGCTTACCTTTGCTTTTGGCCTGATTTGTTTCCCGCCGACTTCTAGACATCTCCAACTCCATCGAACGAACAGCGAGCTTCACCGGCGCATCTGCATCGACAACCATCGTTCTTCCCTTTCGACGCCAGCAGGCAGCGAGGAGGACAGACACATAGCGTCGCAATGGCTGCTCGATCTCTCCCCAGAAGCCTCTCGAGGCAGCTGGCCCTTGTCAGACCCTATGGAACGGTGCAGAGCAGCATCCCCAAGCCGGTGGCTTCTGCTTCGTCTCCAGCCGCAGTCGCACCATCTCCCACGAGCTCGCTGCCGGCAGCACTGCAGGATGCGATTGCGGCCAGCGCGCCCCGTACCTCCTGGACCCGTGAGGAGATCACCCAGATATACCAGACTCCCCTTAACCAGCTGACTTTTGCTGCCGTATGTCACCCATTCCAGTAACTAGGAAGAGCCAAGGTGACGCGCAGAATTGTATGGTTAACCTTCCTCTTGTGTTTTAATATAGGCCGCTGTTCACCGTAACTTTCATGATCCGGCGGCTATTCAGATGTGCACGTTGATGAACATTAAGACCGGTGGATGTAGTGAGGACTGCTCATACTGCTCTCAATCGTCAAGATACGATACCGGCCTCAAGGCAACAAAACTAAGCAGTGTTGACTCTGTCCTGGAGGCTGCTCGCATTGCCAAGGAGAATGGGAGCACCAGATTCTGCATGGGTGCTGCATGGCGTGACATGCGTGGCCGCAAGTCCAACCTGAAGAATATCAAGGCGATGGTCAGCGGTGTGCGCGAGATGGGCATGGAGGTCTGTGTCACACTCGGCATGATTGATGGCGAACAGGCAAAGGAGCTGAAGGAGGCCGGCCTGACTGCTTATAACCACAACGTTGATACATCCAGAGAATTCTACCCTTCCATCATCACTACCCGGTCTTACGATGAGCGTATTCAGACTCTTGGTCATGTCCGCGATGCTGGAATCAATGTCTGCTCTGGCGGTATTCTTGGCCTTGGTGAGGAAGACTCTGACCGTGTGGGGTTGATTCACACTGTTGCAACCCTGCCTGCTCATCCAGAATCTTTCCCTGTCAATGCCCTGGTGCCTATCAAAGGCACTCCTCTAGGTAACAGGAAGATGATCGAATTTGACAAGCTGCTGCGAACAGTTGCTACGGCTAGAATTGTCCTTCCTGCCACCATCGTTCGTCTAGCAGCTGGCCGCATCTCCTTGACAGAGGAGCAGCAAGTTACGTGCTTCATGTCTGGCGCAAATGCCATCTTCACCGGTGAGCGAATGCTTACTACCGACTGTACCGGTTGGGATGAGGATAAGAAGATGTTCGACAAATGGGGATACTATCCCATGAAGAGCTTTGAGCGTGGAGAATACAAGGGAATTGCGGAAAATCAATCTTCTTCAGTTAGCAACGTTGTTGCCGAACCGGCCCAGCCTGCTGCAGCCCCAGCTTCATAGAATCCTTTCCATCTTGCTCACTTGGGGCTGTTCTTATTTTAACATTTCACTTGTGTCCAGCCGCTGATTTGTATATTCATGACCAAAATATATCATCATTTCGTGCCTGTAGGCTATATCTATACATTTATAGAAAACCCCCTTTTTTATACCATCCAGGGAAAGGCTATGTACTTTTATCCTATTCATTCCTTTTTTTTTTTTTTATTCTTTCAACATCTTAGGGTTGCATATCGAACAGCAACCTCCTCCTGAACGCTGCATTCTCTATTCTCTTCGACCAGAGATTTCCGCAACAAAGTCTCTACCTTGGACAGCACTTCTCGCGTCGAGGTGACGCTGGCCATAAGGTAGAGTACATTTCCCAGAACTCGGGAATGGATATTAAATGACCCTTCACCAGCCGTCAGTTTCTTTTGCAGACCACTTGCGGCATTGGATGTGTATCCTGGTAGAAAGATTAGCTATCATTTTCCTTTATATTTAGTATAATAGGATTGGATTTACCTCCGCCATGCTGATCTCGGAGTGTAATACAGAAGACAGATCCAATTGCAAATACGCTCTCAACGCCATCTGCATAAGATAAATCTGTGACAAGAGCCTGTGGCCAACAACTCCATACCTCGGGCTGGGCAAGGCTCCTTGCATTGTTGCCGGCTGGTGTTGTTGTAGTTCGCTTCCAATCTTGCACAAATTCATCCCAATATCCGGCATGCTCCATGTTCTCCATTTCCCGGAGAGACGCCATTGCAACTGAGCAACCAACAGGGTTAGCTGTGTAACTGTGGCCATGTAGCAGTGCATCGGACTTGTGTGGGCTATCGAAGGTCTCGAAGATTTCATTACTGGCTAGAGTCGTGCAGAGGGGCATCAAGCCGCCGGTTAGTAGCTTTGCATGCACTGAAACGTCTGGATCAACGTCCAAAAATGATGCAGCAGTCCGGCGGCCAAGGCGGTACAAGCCAGTGAAAACTTCATCAAAGATAACGGGCAAACCAGACCATGAGTCTGGAGAGGTAGGAGGCTGCTGGTGACACTGGCTGAATATGTGGGGATTTTCTCGTACTACTTGGACAAGTGATTGTTGAAATAAGGGGTCGCTAATATCACGTCAGTATATGCAGAGAAACAGGAGTTTTAAGAGCGGGTGTGAAAAAAACAAAGACATACCAGAACAACATCCCTCCTGCGCCGAGGATGATAGGTTCGATGATGAGTGCACCGAGCTTCTGGCCACTTTGAACAACGTTCTCTAGTGTCTTTTTGATATAATTTCTATATCGTCCGGCAATGCTGGACTCCTTGCGAGCGTTCAAATCAAATACAGAAGAGATGTTTCGAAATGATACATCGTCTCCAAGCTCTTTCTTCAGCCCTTGGGGAACAGAAACTTTCCAAACACCGTCTGTCATCCGAACCATTGGAAAATCAAACCAATAGCCACGGCCCCTGTACCATTCCACCTTTTTATTATATGTGGAAGGCTCTGAACAGTCCATCACTCCGATGGTATCACCGTGGTAACTACCCTTGAGGCCAACTATTCCAATGTCCTCCTTGCTTGCGTCCCACCCGTATCTAGTGCAAGACACTCGTAACCCCATTTTAAGAGCAACTTCCATACCAGTGCTACCGTTGTCCGTGAAGAAGACTTTCTGCAGACGAGGGTTACCCGAGGTTTTCAGCAATTGTTCAGACAGGGAGAGAGCTGGTTCGTGGATGGTTCCTGCAAACATGACATGTCCATATCTACCCGCCGCATAGGCCGAAGTGAGAGCCAATTCCGGGTTACCATGCCCCAGGCCCTGGGTCCACCATGACGCGGATCCGTCAAATGTTGGTCGCAGTACGTGTTCACAAGTGCTGCTCTCCGGACGAGCCAGGGTTTGGAAGCAATCACCATATGCAGAGTCAATGACGCTTATATCCTTTGGTGTCATTCCATTGTGTTGGGTGAACGGGTACCAGATGACCTCCTTGGCCTTTGCTGGCATTGAATCGAGCCGATTTAAGCGTTCAGTATGTTTGCTAGAGAGCTCATCAATCAGGCCAAACACCTCATCGTGCCTGGCAGTTTTCTCGTAGAACGAAGCCATGGCTTCCTCGTCCCTCAGCCTAGCAGTCTCGCTATCTAGTTTCTCCTTACGAGGAGGAGGAGGAGGCAGCGAGAAGACCTTGACGTTCCTCTGGCTGAAGAAATCCTTCAAGTACTCGTGGTTTTGATAGAATTGATCCTGGAAGAGGATAATGCCTTCAACGTCGTACCCGCGGATACACAATGACTCGTAGGCTGATATAGATGCGGAAATGCCTCCAAGCCTGTGGTCTGCAATGAGAATCACCGGCAACCGTAAGGGACGGTACAGGTCTGCCTGCACCAGGCCGCTCGGCCCAGGGCTCAAGACGCCGCCAGCCGACTCTACCAGTGCAAAACTCGGTCCATCCTGGTCCCAGTAGTTGAGAGTAGACTTGATGCTCTCTAGCAGCTCATCGTTATGCGGTATCTAAATCCATGATCAGCCGACATTTCTATACATCTAGAGAGGCCCTTCTCCTCCCTCTATGCTGCTGTCGCCGTCTCCCTTGCCGTGCTTCCTCACCTTGAGATCTCTGGCAGCGAGATGCGGGCTCACGGGACGGTCATACCCGTACAGACACGCGGTCGTGACCCCCTTGGTGAATCGAGATATGTGCCTGTCCAACCGTCAGCGCCTGCAATGTGTGTGTGTGTTCGTCTATGAATGTTGTGGTACATCTCGCTGGCGAGCGTTACACCGTACCTGTCATCAGCCTCTGCGGCCGGCCCAGCGCTGACGGGCTTCAGGAACCGAAGCTTACTGCTCGCCCACGGCCGGTACGCAGGAATCGCATTGAAGAGCACTGCCGACACCACCGTCTTGCCGATGTCAGTGTTTGCGGCGTACACCTGGTATGCGCGGGACGACCGCCAGAGCCCTGCGGCCACCGTCGACGACGACAGCATCGCAGTTCAACTATCGCGACTCTCGAGGCAGCCCGCAAAACAACGGCAGCGGACAGCGACGACGGCCAACGCAGCAAGGAGAAGAAGAGCAACTACTTAGGCCTGTGACTCGGTCAATTGGGCCTTGACATCCATCCTCCGTCTGGCTGGCTGGCTGGCTTGCTTGCTTGGACTGACCCCCTCCCGCACTGTGCGCTGCACTGCAGGTATCACGCTCCCTGTAACTGTTTTAAGTCCTCTCCTCCAGCGGGATCCCTGAGACACAAAAAAGCCCACTAACTAACAGGTCAAGCTAGCAGGAATTTAAAAAAAAAAAAAAGAAAAGAAAGAAAGAAAGAAAGAAGAGGAACCTCCAGAGATCTCAAGCGCACATCCTCCGGCCAGGCATCCCTCCTGGCAGCTTTCCCTTCCTTTCCCTCCACCCAGCGGGACCTTTTTCCCGGCTCCAAACACGCATCCTCGGCTCCAAGTAAGGCGGGCCTGTCTCCGGGGCGGGCTTCTTCTTCTTCTTCTTCTTCTTCTTCTTCTTCTGCGGCCCAACAGATTTGAGTTACTCTGTGCGGCCCTTGACAGCCGATAACTAACTAGTTACGCATGTATTTTTCTGGCTTTAGTCTGTTTTCTTTCTTTTTTTGCTTAACAAAAGCTGGAGCTAACTTGGCCGGTACAGGGGATAGAGCCTTGCGCTGGCTGGCGTTGTCATTATGATATTATTGCGGAGATGACGTCCCTCCCCCGGGCCGGCAGGCAGAAGGGGGAAAAAGCAAAGATTTAGCACAACAGAAAGCGCCTTAGGACGAATGGGAGCCGGCATGGAAAAATACGCATGGATGAAGAAAAAGAGGGACAGCAAGAGAAACGGAAAAAGCAAAGAAGAACGTTGTTCATGAAGGTGCCGGTTTCCCTCGAAGGTTTACAATTCTGGTTTCGAGACGTAATTTTTATATCTCAGGTCCACAGCCAAGTCAAAGGGACAAGAAAAAGAAAGGAGCATCAAACTAAATAAAACACAAGCCAGCAGGGTTGTTTGCGTGCATCAGATGGATACATTATTTAATCAAGCCCATTGCAGGCACCGCGGACAGGTCTCGCCGTTGCGGGAGAGAGAGTGAGTGAGAGAGAGAGGAGGCCAATGCGAAGAAGATAGAGAGATCAAGAGAGCATAAGACGATGCTAAGACCGCCAGGAAGCAATTTGCAGCGATCGCTGAGAGAAGCTCTCGAGAGACGGGAATCAAAGGGAACCCTTCGTTCGCTCAAGGTTGTACCAACCGGCGCTGTTGACTTTTCTTCCAACGACTTTCTCTCTCTCTCGACTAACCCGACCTTTCGAAGCCGGTTCCTAAGCAACCTCGCCAGAGCTTCGAGCTCGCTTCCTCTCGCAAGCACCGGTTCGCGGCTGCTGGACGGCAATTCCCTTTATGCAGAGCAGCTCGAACAGCAGATTGCCAGCTTTCACAATGCGCCGTGTGGCCTAATTTTCAACTCGGGCTTCGATGCCAATTCAGGGGTGTTTGCATGTATCCCCCAGCCAGGAGATGTAGTCATCTACGACGAGCTGATTCATGCCAGCGTGCATGACGGCATGCGACTCTCTCGAGCCAGGAAACTAGCTCCCTTCATTCACAATTCGATCGAGGATTTCGAACGGGTGCTCGAAGCACTCCTTATCGATGACCCTCTGCTGCTGGCCGGCCAACGGAATGTGTTTGTCGCTCTGGAGTCGATATATAGCATGGACGGTGACTTTGCCCCAATACGGGAGGTTCTGGACATGCTAGAGAGGAAGCTCCCGCACGGGAACGGACACGTTATAGTGGATGAAGCTCATGCAACCGGAGTATTTGGCACGCATGGCGCCGGTGTTGTGCAACAGCTAGGCGTGGAAGATCGTGTTCTTATCAGACTGCATACGTTCGGCAAGGCGCTGGCTAGCAATGGAGGTACTCTCTCATACCTTAAATCTTAGGCTTGGGCGAAAATTCCGGCGATCAGACACAGCTGACAACCACGATTTACCACAGCTATCATCCTTTGCTCCCCGCTTGTCAGAGAATATCTAATCAACTATGCCAGACCTCTTATCTTCACCAGCGCCTTAGGCATGCCCTCCCTCGCCGCAGTCCGCACAGCATATGAATTGATGGAAGAAGGGCAAACACGAAAGGTAATATATATCTTATCTGACCATAACTACTAGTCGATCGCTTTCATTTGGCCTCAATTCCTAACTCCTTCCCGTCTGTTTTTAGCTGCAACTCCATCTTCAGGATCTCATCCAGCTCTTCCATGAGAAGCTCATGCAGCTTTCCCCATCGGATACCTCCTTATTTGAAGCAAAGCACTCTCCTACGTCGCCTATCTTCTCTCTCCAAACCAAGTACCCCCGCGAACTATCCAAGGCATGCCAGGACGCAGGCCTGATGGTTCGAGCAATCATGCCGCCCACGGTGCAAGTAGGGACCGAGAGAGTACGAGTCTGTTTACATTCTGGAAATGATGTGGAACAGGTACTATTACTTTCCGGAGTGATTGAGAAATGGTTAAAGGAGAAATCCCACCATGCTACTGAGAATAGGCTGGAGGCTGCAAAGCTATAGTAGAGACTGGTTAGTGTAGCTAAGAAATGAATAAACATTACCCTCCTATCTGGTGTGTACACAATGAATTGATAACAGTATCATGAAATTACTCATTTTTTTGGAAGCTTCATTTGACGTGGAGCTAATGCAGCCTGGTCAGCGGATATATGCATGTTATACGAAGGAGCCCACTTGGCTTCTTATCCCGGTAGGATAGAAAGATATATAAGGCATGCTGGGCCTTTCCCTAAGTACAGTATGGTGGCCAAAAACTATTCTCTAATAGCATTTTCCGTGTATTTCGCTAGACGTGAGAGGTGACAAAGTCGAGTACAAAGCAGCATTGGTTACCCCTTCCCACCGTTTTTTATGCCCCAGTCCCTTAAGAAAAGAAATTTGAAGAGATGTGAAGAATCAATCATAGATACCATTGGTAGATTTATTTAACCAAATGGAGCTCCCCCCTCCCCCATTTTTTGGGTGACGTTTAGTTGATTTACTTAAGCATTGGTGGTGGGATCGGTGATCAACTTGGTGATCATTCCAATGGCAATGGTTTGACCCTACTTCAAGGTTAGCTGAACAGCACCATTTGAGACTATGCGAAGAGATATTTTGGAGAAACGAACCTGATCACGTAGGGTAAAGCGTCCAAGCTGATTGTAGTCTTCAAACTTCTCCACACAAACCGCACTTCCACCGCTAGCAATCTCCAACCGAGCAATAATGGTTTGACCCTTACTAGCAAACGCAGGTGGTTTTTTGCTCTTGCGTCCAGTTTCCTTTTGTACTTTGTGTAGAAGTTCGGCAAAAGTAACTTCTTCAATGGCGGAATGAACATGCATCACGCAGTTAAAACCAGCCGTGAGGATGCTCTTCAAGTCGAGAATACGGATCTTTGCTTCAAAGGCCGTTACACAATGTACGGGTCGTTTGGGAGAGCACATGACAAAGCCCGGGAGAATATCCTCCTCCTCCACGCCTCTAAGGCGGGCTCGAATCTGGTCGCCGCATGTGGCGGTTTGGATTTCATCTTCAGTTTCACCGTATAGCGCTGTGACGGTAATTTCGGTTCTGTTAGGCATAAGGATGCAGGTAGACCCTTTCTTAAGAACGCCAGATTCAATTCTGCCTTCAATGACGGTTCCCATATCCTTGTACTTGGCGCTAATCGGCATCATGAAAGGCGCGTTGATCTTTCGTTCAGGCATCTTCATGTTGTGAAGGTATGGAAGTAATCCGGGGCCATCGTACCATGGAGCAATATCCTTGGGAACAGGCTTATCGATACCAATCGTTTTCTGAGCGGAGATGGGCATGAAATGGAGGTCTGACTTCTTGTAACCCAAAGCTTCGACGTACTTGCCAATCTTCGTCGTACATTCATCATATCGAGCCTTACTCCATTCGACGGTCGGGTCGTCCATCTTGTTAACTGCGATGATCAGTTTCTTCACGCCGGAGTTTCTGGCCAACAATGCATGCTCTCTGGTCTGGCCACCTCTCTCGAAACCAGTTTCGTATTCACCCTTTCGAGCAGAAATGACCAAAACTCCAACATCAGCCTGGGAAGCACCTCCAATCATGTTAGGGACGAACGACTTGTGTCCAGGGGCATCCAGGATAGTATAGTGTCGTGTCATAGGTCCGTCAGGTGTGTCTCCACTCGTCTTGAAGAAGGCTCTGCCTACTTCTACGGTCTTGCCTTTCGATCGTTCCTCGTTGGTCAAATCAAGGGCCCACGAAAGGTACCAGGTCTCACGTCCAGCGTCCTTGGCTTCTTTCTTGTACTTTTCCATTGTTCGTTCGTCAACCATCCCTGTGCAGTATAGGATACTTCCACCCAATGTCGACTTCCCAGCATCAACATGGCCGATGAACACAAGGTTAACGTGCTCTCGTTTTTCTCCGTAAATTTCCTTGAGGGTAGCTTCATCAACATCCGCTGCTTGTTCCTTTGCAACAATATCAGCATCACGGTTTGCAGCCTTGCTGTCAGCACGACCGGGAGATGATCGACCGGATGATGGAGTTGGCGAAGAAGCACCTTTCTTCTCCGTCTTTTCGATAGCTTTCGTGGCAGTAACCTTGGCTCCTGCGGCTGCGGCTGCAGGCCCAGTGGATTTCTGCGCTTCCGTAGCAGACGTTGCGCTGGCTGCAGGCGCCTTGGACTTTGGAATATCCCCGCCGATCGTTAACACTTTAGCTTTGGGTGGCTGGGATGCTGGCGATGGCTTGGAGGACTCTGATGGGGTCGGTTTCGGGGTAGCCGCGGCCGCGGCAGCATCGGTGGTAGCATCGGTGGTGGCATCGGTGGTGGCATCAGAGGGAGCAGGATTGGATTTCTCAGCCGTCGACGGTGGCTGCCACTGTTCCTGTTGCGGGGGAGGGGCTTGCTGCTGATACTGGTTGAAGCCTT